ATTCATGTGGATACCAATTATGTCTGAGCACTGTCTTCAAAAGCCATCTAGCTTCTACAGCTCTTATTTTCTTCCAGTCTCAAAACCCTATATTCTTTACACTTGAAGACCTCCTATAGAATGAAGGGTCTAACTATTAAAGCAAAAGGTAAAGATATCCAATGGAAAAACTCAAAGTAATGATTTTACTATCTCTTTCCAGTGACCTCTCTTTTTCCTTCTAGGGCCACCAAGAATAGAGTAAATTAAAACTCTGGGGTCTATGACATCTGTATGTTAAAACAGACTTGAAGCTATAGATTAGGAAAAACTCACTGTATTATTTAATGAAATGCTATAATCCCATCTAAATTTTCCATATAGCACCATGTTAACTGTATGTCTATAGGCTAGCACAGATTTCAGTTCCACAACAGTAAGGTTTAAATTACTATGAACAAAAATTAAATAAATCCCATAAAAGGTAGTAAGGAAACGAATTAACAGAGGTCAGGTTGAGTGGCTATGATGCCCTATAAAACTACAAGGTTAATCAAGGAAATAAAAACTTTAGTACATTTTATTTTTTATTTATTTATTTTTTAAAGATTTTATTTATTTGACAGAGAGAGATCACAAGTAGATGGAGAGGCAGGCAGAGAGAGAGAGAGAGAGGGAAGCAGGCTCCCTGCTGAGCAGAGAGCCCGATGCGGGACTTGATCCCAGGACCCTGAGATCATGACCTGAGCCGAAGGCAGTGGCTTAACCCACTGAGCCACCCAGGCGCCCCAAACTTTAGTACATTTTAAAAGTGAATCAGCCCAAAAGAATTGAAGACAGCTCTATTCACAATACCGAAATGTGGAAACAACCCAAATGTCCATCAACTGATGATTGGATAAACAAAAATGCAGTCCCTCCGTAAAGTGAAATGCCACTCAGCCAGAAAAAGGAGGGAAGTGCTGATCCACGTTGCAGCATGGAAACCACATGCTACATGATCCAAGTGGATCAAGTACTGATCCAAGGTATAGCATGCACGTTATGCTGAGTGAAAGAAGCCAGACACAAAAGGCCACGTATTGTGTGGTTCCGGAAATATCCGGAACAGGCAAATTCAGAGAGACAGTCAGTGGATTAGTGGATTCAGTGCCAGGAGCTGGGGAGAGGAGAATGGGGGGTATGGAACAGTGGGGAATAACTGCTTGAAAGGTACAGAATTTCCTTTTGGGGTGATTAAAATGCTCTGGAACTAAACAGTGGTGATGGCTGCACAATGTTATTGATGTCCTTAATGCCACGGAATCATATACTTTAAAATGGCTGAAACGGTGATTTTTATGTTATGCGAATTTTACCACTTTCAAAAAAAAAAAGTGGGTCACAACTTTCCATTTTCCTCTAGAAGTAAGAATTGGAAGAGAGTCTATCCTACTTAACCTAGCATACACACACTGAAAACTATTCTGGCCTAGGGATTCAGAGCATGGTTTTGCTGTCTAGGCTTTCCTTGGCCAAACTACTTAAACTCTGTCAACCTCCCTATCTATAAAATGGGCACACTAATAGCATCTATCTTATACAGATGTTGCAAAGATAAAATGGAGATAATACAATCCAAGCACAGTGCCCGGTAAGAGTAACTGGAAAACAAGTTAGTTATAATTTCACTGGCAGCTGTGCAATCTCCAATGTTAGAAATAAAACCTTACTTAAGTGGGGTGCCTGGGTGGCTCAGGTGGTTAAGCGTCTGCCTTTGGCTCAGGTCGTGATCCCAGGGTCCTGGTATAGAGCCCCGACATGGGGCTCATGGGGCTCAACAAGGAACCTGCTTTTCCCTCTTCCTCCGCCTGCCACTCTGCCTACTTGTGCTATCTCCCTCTCAAATAAATAAGTGAAATCTTTTAAAAAACAGAAACAAAAACAAAAACCCTTACCTAGATCAAAGATTGTTGCACTATCATTTGTGGACCTTTGGAGGTCCCCGAGACTATTTGAGGGGAGTCTATGAGGCCAAAACTATATTTATAATAATTGTAGGACATTATTTGCCTTTTTCACTACAATGGCATTTACAGGGATGGTGCAAAAATGCTGGGTAAACTGTCGGCACCTCAGCATGAAGGAAGACAGCAGCACCAAACTGTACTAGCAGGAGTATATTTTCATTATACGTCCAAAAAAAAATCTAGTTTCATTTATCCTTGATGAAACAGAAAAATGATCAATTTTATTAAATCTCAGGCCTTGAGTACCTGTCTTTTTTTTTTTTTTAAGATTCTATTTATTTGTTTGAGAGAGAGTGAGAGCATGAGCAGGGGAGGGGCAGAGGGAGAAGCAGGCTCCGCAGTGACCAAGGTGCCCAACAGGACCTGAGGCAGACGCTTAACCGACTGAGCCACCCAGGGGCCTCAAATACATAACTTTTTAATATCCCTCTGGGATAAACTGGCAGTATGTATAAAGCAGTTGGGCTATATACCGAAGTAGATGGCTGTCGGGAGGAAAAGCACTTGTGAGGCTGTCAGAGCTAGAGCTGAGCTAGCTTCTTTGTCCATGAACACCATTTGTATTTGAAAGAACAACTGACAGACAAATTATGGTTATTCAGACTTGGTTATTTGACAGACATTTTCTCAAAAAAGAACTTCAAGGAAAACAGTATTTTTGGCCAATAATAAAATTCAAGCTCTCAAGTGAAAATTAGAATTTTAGAAAATGTGTATCAGCTACCATGAGCCTGACGGCAGCTTCCTAATACTTAAAGACTGTGATGAAATTAGTAGCGTTATTAATTCATTTTTAATATTGCATAATGAAATGTCTCAACATTTGGAACAGCTGCATAACTCAGTGAACCAATGTTTTCTAAATGACCAATACAAGCATAGGTTAAAGATCCAGTCAAAATGCAAAAGAGAGAGGAGCACCTGGGTGGCTCAGTGGGTTAAAGCCTCTGCCTTTGACTCAGGTCATGATCTCAGGGTCCTGGCATCGGGCTCTCTGCTCAGTGGGGAGCCTGCTTCTCCCTCTCTCTCTGCCTGCCTCTCTGCCTACTTGTGATCTCTATCAAATAAATAAATAAAATCTTTTAAAAAAAAATCCAAAAGAGACCAATGGATTTTAATGCAAGAGTATGAAATGTTCACCATTGCAAATGACCTTTTCAAAACTATATCTTGTCAAGTTTTAGCGTAGTACCAAATATCCAGAATTATCTGAAAATACCATTAAAGTACTCTTCATGTTCCCAAATACATTTCTATGTGAGTCCAGATTTTCTTATATATGTCAATCAAAACAACATACTGCAACAGACTGAACAGAGAAGCAGATCTGAGAACACAGTGGTCTATTCTATTACGGAAACTTACAAAAACATAAAACAATGCCTACCTTCTCACTAAATATTTTTGGTTTGGGAAACAGATTTCTCATGAAAAATGTTATTTACATAAACAAAAAATATCTTATTTCTATTTTTAATGAACTATCAAATGTTAAATTTTGCAGTTTTAACTTCTAATAAGGTAAATATTGATAACTACAACCCATATAAAGAATGGCTCTTTGGTACCTTCAGTAATTTTTAAGAAATGAAAGTGATTATATGCCCAAAAAGCTTGAGAACTACTACCTTATCATTCACTGTTTTTTGTTCACAAAACTGAAAAGTAATACCCCATATACAGCAGCCCTACAACATAGTGAAATGTTTGGATAGTTATAGCTTATAACATAAAGTGAACGATCCATACCAGATATCGAACTCCAACCTGGCAGAAATGTTTTGGGATGTCCTAAAGGAACAACGTGCCGCTAACTTTTTAAGGTAAGGTCATTAGTATGCATTATATTTAGGCATATGTCAAGTATCTGAAAGACAAATCTGGCCCAAACACATACAACACCTGATTCTATTGTCTTTTCTTGCCTTTCTCCATTCACTTCCAACTGAATTGAGATAGGAGATAATTGAGATTATCAATTTGAATTGAGATAACTGAAACCTTACAAGGGATCCTCTACAAAAGCAAATCAATTTGGGGGCTTGCCTAGAGACTTTGATCTTCTCTAGAGGGTTTTTTTTTTTTTTTTTTAATTTTTATTTATTTATTTTTTTTAATTTGTCAGAGAGAGAGAGAGAGTGAGCACAGGCAGAGAGGCAGGCAGAGTCAGAGGGAGAAGCAGGCTCCCCGCCGAGCAAGGGGCCCGATGTGGGACTCGATCCCAGGACGCTGGGATCATGACCTGAACCGAAGGCAGCTGCTTAACCAACTGAGCCATCCAGGCGTCCCTCTAGAGGGTTTTTGGTTCAGTATGAGTTCTGTTCTATTCTGCCTTAATAAAAAGACCACAAAAACAAACTTCCAATTCAAGTTTGGTTCCTCTGCTCACTGAAGACCTTGACTAGACTAATAAATGGTGTTAACATTGGAAGTGGCTCTAGAAGCCTAGGCTAGCCTCAGAAATAACCTGGGTTGCAGACCGAGAATCCTTAGCATGATCTAAGTGTGATAGTAACACTAGTAAAAAACAGTAAACATTTGTTGATGTGTGTTTTGATGATGTCCGCATGTGCTAAGCACTGTTCTAAGATTCATGTAAATTAACTTAATCCTAATAATCCTACAGAGTTTGTATAGTTATCCCCATTTTGTCCTGGTAATCCACTAGACCTGCATTGTGTCACTTTTACAACCACCATCCTAAAATGCCAACCTTCCCACCTCCTATAACCCGAAAAACCTGAAGAAAGCACTGAGCTCATAAAAACTAGATTGCTATAATCAATATCTACCATCCAAGTAACTCAATAATTATCAGATTAACATCTGATACTTTTTCCTGCAACAAATTCCTCTTTTAAGATATTAGCTACCTATTTTTAAAAAAAAAGAAAGAATTGAGACATTCTACAATAATAAGATCTCAAAGAAAAGGAATCAAAACTTGTTGAACTTCTAGGAATGCTTTTAGGAACTTCTTCATGGAAGCAAAGAAGCATTACAGAAACATACCTGTTGGAGCCATCTTTCATATGGACTTTGGCATAAAGAACATCCACCATGCCAGGATCATCGTTCATGTATTCTATCCCTGCCATCTCTACTTCTAAGGGTTTGCCCCCAGAAATGTCACTGCAAAGGGAAAAACATTAGATTTTTCTAATTGTTTAATCTGAAAGGGCCATTTTAAACATGGTTATTATACAGAGTCAAATATTACAAAAATGAAATTGTTGGGATTTTTTACTAACAGTATTATCTAACCATCCTTCTAATTTCAAAATTAACACATTCTATGCACACCAACTAGAAACACAAGTATTTCCAAAGTCACACTACAGTTATGTCAATACCAGTTTATTATACTCAGAGGAAAAAAGCCAAGGAATGACAGCTCTGATTGACAAAGACATTGTTGCTCATCTCTTGGGTTTTATTTCATTATTTCTACAAGCTGCAAACACCATTTTACTCATCTAACAATGGTGGAAGCATAAAGTAGTACTAATCTTTAACAGCAATTTGGCAATATTTATAAAAAGCCTTCAAGAATAGAAACCCTTTTTTGTCCAAGCAATTCAATTTTTAGGAGCAAAACCTAAGGAAATAATTATGAATTCAGCTACATATCCAACCATAGCTGATAAAGGAAAGCTCTTTACAGAAGAATTCCAACTGACAAATACAGAAGAATGCCAAATGATAGATGCAGAAGTAATGATGAAATTATAATATCACCATTTTGCAACCCCTGACAAAATAATGGATGGAGACAATGACTAGCAACGGCTTCTAGAACTTAACAGCAGAAGGTTGGAGAAAATATAAAGAGATCCTTACGGAGGGCTGACCACACCTGAACCCACTGATCAGGCTTATCACACATACAAAAAAGAACCAAACAATACATACTTCCTGATATGATGTAATAGGTCATACTCATACTCATGAAAAATAATTTATGCATAGGGTTTGACTGAGGCATTATTTGGAGCAGCCAAAGACTGGAAACAGATTAAACACTCATTAGGGTTTTAATAAAATGTGCACAACAATGTGCATGCTGTATGTTACTATTTGTGCAAAAGACAGGGTAAGAAAATTTATATACACACACATATACATTTCCTTGTACATACATAAAACCTCTGGAAGGATACAAAGAAGCTGCTAAAATCTCTTGCCTTTAGACAGGAGAGCAGGGTGCTTGGTGGGAATAGCAGTGGAAAAGAAACTCTTCACCGCATATCCTTTGTATCTTTAAAATTTTGAACCATATAAATGTATTATCCATTAAAAAGTTAATATAAAAATACAGATGCAAAAGAAGTCAAACACAAGTTTATCTATTACACATATATGCAAAAGAAGTCAAACACAAAAATGTATATACTGAATGATTTTAGTTATGTGACATTCAAGAACAAGCTAAATTAATCTATGGAAATAGAAATCAGAATAACAGTTATTTCTGGAAGAAGTGAATTTACTGGAAAAGGTCATGAAGGAACTTCACAGAGTAATGACAATGTACAACATTTTGATTTGGCTGAAGTTACATAAGTGTATGCATTTGTTAAAATTCATCAACTACACTTAAGATCTGTGCATTTTGCTGTAAGTCAATTACACCTTAAAGAAAAAATACACACATGCATATAAAAAAGTGTGAGAGCATTAATAGTAATTATCTTTAGGTAATAAGATTAAAAGTGGTATTTTTGTTTATCTGCAACTTTGACTTTTCCAAAACTAGTATGTATTACTTTGTTTTAATTCAAGAATAACTGATATACAATATTATATTAGTTTCACGTGTGCATGTATTACTTTTGTGTTAAGTAAAACCTCACCATCCTGCTTCTTCCCAGACCCCTTACACAGACTTGTACTTCAACCAGAAATGGACTTGCAGTGCCAACCTGAAACCCAGCTAAAAATCAACTCACCACCACAGTCTTCTGCAAGCCCCCCAAGGCCAGGAAGTCGATTCATCTTTTCTACTCCTAGATCCCCAGCACCTGGTACTCCATAAATCTCTGGTAAACACTGAGCAGATATTCTACTCTAAAAAGAGAGGCTTTTCTGGACAATTTTGAGAAGAATGTGGACACATCCTTATAATGTCACTGAAAACATGTGGCACTAATCAAAGGCAAAAGGATGTTGGGATCCACCAAAAGGCAATTCTCAAAAAAGCAAATCGAAGAAAGTTCTCTTGATACTGAACCAAGGCCATAGGGAAACCCTCTGGAGCCAGGAATCTTCATGGTAAAGATTCTCTTAGGGGCACCTGAGTGGCTGAGTCGGTTAAGTGTCTGCCTTCGACGCAGGTCATGACCCCAAGGTCCTGGGATTGAGCCCCAAATTGGGCTCCCCGCTCAGTGGAGAGTCAGCTTCTCCCTCCCTCTCTGCCTCCCCACTACCCCGCTTGTGCTCTCTCCTTCTCAAATAAAATCTTAAAAAAAAAAAAAAAAAAAAGATTCCCTTAAAACTTGAAGACCATATTACTGCACAAGACCAGGATCTCTTTCAGTAAAAAACAAATTACTATTTTGGCCAGATATTCGAGAAAAATTTTTGCCTTCATCCTCTAGTAAGTGGGGTATTCCAAAACACAAGCCAAGCTCTGAACTATTACCTGAAGCCTGTAGCTTCAACCAACAACACAGTGTATCTCCATTCCAAGTAATAGCCAAAGAATTCAATATGAAAGACTGCCATTCAATCCTTTCAAAGTGCAGTCAACCAACCTTACATGAGAAAAACAGTTTAATACTAACTATACATTCCTCTGCTGATTTCAGCTCTAACCCTGCGTAGTCAGATCACCCAAAAGCATCAAACCATTGGTTTAGTTTCCCACTAAAATGTTTTTACTGGATTATGTCTAATGTTACACTCTCAAATTCTAGGGATCAATACAAGAGAGAACCATGTGACCAATGTTTTTGTATCTTCTGCAAAATTCCTGTTGAAGACACTGCTCATCATCATTTTGGGTTAATATTTACATGACAAGTTTTTCTCAGACTGAGAACAAGCAAAGGATTCTCTCCTAAAAGTGTTATGCTGGGGCACCTGGGTGGCTCAGTGGGTTAAGCTTCTGCCTTTGGCTCAGGTCATGGTCTCAGGGTCCTGGGATCGAGCCCCGCATTTGGCTCTCTGCTCAGCAGGGAGCCTGCTTCCCCCTCCCCATCTGCCTGCCTCTCTGCCTACTTGTGACCTCTCTCTCTCTCTCTCTGTCAAATCAATAAATAAAATCATTTAAAAAAAAAAGTGTTATGCTCCTTTTCATCAGTTAAGAACGATGATAATCGATGTGTTTCCTTCTGGAATGTAGTTCAAGTATACCAGTGCTTGAAAACTATCGAATTCTATTGCTCAAGTACAATTATAACCTTTCCTTGGTTTTCTGGTAAACATTTTCTCCCATTCCATCTTTATGGTTTCTGAGCTCCCCGACTTTAACATCTCTTTTGTATGTATGTCCTCACTCACGAACCACCTCAAATCTTTAGAATGAGCTGGGGTACCAGGAACAACAAAAAATGAAACAATGAAACAGGACCTAAAGCCTGTCCTTTAGGATCAGAAACTCTTCTGACCTTCCCTAGGATTTACCAAGACAGAAATTCGGTGGTTTGCCTAATAAATGCTCTTTGTCTTGGTGACAAAACTATCCCACCCTTGACACCAGTGAGCATACTTTTCAACTGAGTGACATCTGAGGCAATGATTAGGAAGCAACATTTGTCTGTGGGTGTTTTTCCTCTTCTCTCCTTGCTCTTGTCCCTTTTTACCTTATTATTTGGTGTTACCTCAGGCCTACAGGGAACACTTAGGTACAGGAAGAGTGATACTGGAATTTAAAAGTACTGCAGATTTGTCAGACTATACACTCTGAGCCACTGTGCTGTTTGTGCTCTACATCTCACAAAGAAAAGTCACAAGGGAGACATTTAAAGCTTCAGCGTTTACTGAACACTGAATAATTCATTTGGAATCGATAGAGCTACATGAGCCGTTAGCTTAAGAAGTGAAATCAAAGTTATGTTTCTGGTCAGGTAACATCCCTTAAACTCAAAAAACACCCCAAAATTTAAAACAAATATTCAACTACCCATTTCTTTAAAATATCTATATAGCAGCACAGTTTTAATTCAGTCTGAGTTGAGCCCTATTTATTTAATATCTTTTTTAAAAAAAATTTGTATTTATTTATTTGAGAGAGAAAGAGGGAAAGAGAGCACAAGCAGGGGGAGAGACAGAGGGAGACAGAAGCAGACTCCCCACTGAGCAGGGAGCCTGATGTGGGACTCAATCCCAGGACCTCAGGATCATTACCTGAGCCGAAGGCAGACAGTTAACCAACAGAGCCACCCGGGCACCCCTATTTAATATCTCCACTTAAAAAGCCATCAAAGTACTACAGCATGTTATATATTAGTATGTTCAATTGCAGTGTTTTCCTTTCTTATATTTTAATTTGGTATCTTTACATCATAAAAAGGTTCAGATTAGAAATGCCATTATTTACTGTCAGTCTTTCTAAGCATACCAAGTTACAAAGGCTGAGATCAAAGAGTAAGAATAAGGAAGGGAAAAAAGTTAAATCACCAAGGCTATTGTATAAGTGTGTGTGTGTGTGTGTACACATGTACTTTTTTTTAGGAAACATTTTTTCCTTTTAGGGAAACAAGGCACTTCTAGCCAATCTAAACAGCCAATCTGATTCTCACTCTCCTCAGAAATAAATTAATTTCGCACTATGTACTTTTTAAACAATATATGTGGCAGAGGAGAAGGTGGGAGAAGAGGGCTGAGGAGGCTTACTTTACTTGCTGGTTTTAAATCTTTCCAGCTTTTTGAAAAATCCATCTTCAAAAAAATTTCTGCCTGCACTGCAGATTTTTGGCAATGTAACTTTGTCTTATTTCAAAAGCTTTGCTGAATTTGAAAAACTACAATTACTGTTTTCATCCTGTCATGTCAAAAATTCTTAGGAACTATTAAGGCTGCTCTTCATTTCCTATGCACACCAACCCTGACATGCTTAAAGTGCTCAGATTTGGCGTTTAGTCACAAAAGGCACCAAGAGACATAAAAGGGAGGAACTCAGCTAAATCCTCCCATAGCTCAGGATAAAGATTCAGTGATTAAAAACCTGTGACCTGATTTTTGTAGGTAAAAAATAAACACCTTCCTAAACAAATATCTACCTTTAAATTTCTTCTTAGCAAAATTATCCTAATGGCAGCCAAGAAAATGCAGTTTCATTTCAGTTTCATTTAACAAAAAAGTTAAGGTATCAGGACTAATGCTTAAATCAGGTAACATCGCTCCACTTTGTAAGGTAAAGCATAAGGCTTTATCCTAGGCAAGGAAGTTATAAATACTTAATTACAAATACCCAATTATTTTGAATTTTAGGTTAAGATAGGTTAGGAGATAAACGGTTATGTCCATCAGTGAGCAAAAGATCAAGACAAAGAAGTATTCTTTGCAGACTGCAAACCAAATCAGCTTATGATTTTGCTCAAGAAAAGTATCTTGCCTTCAAAACAAAGAAAATATCTTGCCTTCAAAACAAAGGAAAAGGAGAACTGGCTCACATATAAGTCATTATACTACACAGTTTCATATAAATGAAAAAAAATTAATCCTTTTACCTTGTCTTATCCAATGAACTAGGGGACCCATTTCTACAAGGTCACATTAAAATAGGATGGGACCTGAATATTATAACTGAATTAAAAAAAAAAACACCTCTTCAAGTGAGTCAGTTTTCAAATTTCTCTTATTCTTCATCAATCTTAAGAAAAAGGGCAAAGGGTAGGGAAGAGATGATTCTTTAAAATAAAACTGTTAGGTTAGATGTACATGTAAATTAAAATTTTATAGTGAAAAGAATAACAAGTCTGCCCCCAGAATAGCAATGTTTTCCCTGAACCAAAACAGACTGCTTAAACAGTTTTTGGTATTCTTACACAACTACCTGTATTTTAAAAAGAAAATTAAAGTCTTGAAATACAATGAAGACCTTTGTAAGGAATCTTATTATATTATGTTTGAGTTACTGTGGTAATAGAATAATAGCCCTCCAGGGAGGCTCACATCTTATTTTCTGGAATTTGTAAATATGCTGCCTTACATGGCAAACAGACTTTTGCAGATGTGATTAAGGTTAAGGAGTCTGAGATAGCATGATTATCCTGAATTATCTGGGTGGGCTCAATCAAATCACCAGTCCTTAAAAGCTGAACCATCCCCACTATGGCCAGAGACAGAGATGAGGTAACAGAAGGGTCAGAGAGAAGGAAAGCTGCTATTGCTGAAGATGGAAGAAGGGGGTCACTAGCCAAAGAATGTGGGTGTGGCCTCTAGAAGATGGGCTTTAAAAGCAAGGAAATGAACTCTTCCTTTGAGCCCCCAGAAAGGAACACAGCCCTGCTGATTCTTTGATTTTAGCCCACTGAAACCTGTATCAGACTACCACACAGAACTATAAGATAATGAATTTTCACTGTTCTAAGCCACCCAGCTTGCAGTAATGTGTTCACCAGCATACGAAACTAGTACAGTACTCTATACTGTTCAGTAGGTAATGAAAAGAATTTCCTTTTGGAGAGAATAATGTGATGTCCTGTTAAGAATTATTAATTCACTTATTATTATTATTCAATTATTATTAATTAGGTTAACTAATTCACCTACTGAATTAGTATAATTTAAGGTAGAGTCTTTCCATAAAAATTTGTAAATATGTGCTTTAAACCCATTTTAACCCTTTCAGACAACGGTCCAATATTAAGTGTTCAAGTGGGTGAGTCAACAGACCTTGTTGCCATGTGACAACAAGTGCAAAAACAAGTGCAAAAACAAGTCTGTGATACCAAAGAGAAGCCAGTACAAGGGGACCACCCTTCCCCATTCCTGCAGATCACTCACTCAATGAAGTCCTCTTTACACTGCTGTAGCATCTCACATGTCTGCTGGATCTCTTGCTCACTCAAAAGCACCAACATCCCAATGGTTAGGTGAAGCTTTTTGGGATTCTGGAAAATGGTGCTGTCAACCCCATGATCCTGTTGTCAAAGACAGAAAAACAAAAACACTCAGTCCACATTAAAGAAAATGGCAGGAATAGAATTTAGAGCTCAGAGATAAGCCCAGATATCTATGACTTACTGATTTTCAACCAGATGCCAAGACAATAATGGAGAAAAAACAGTCTCTTCAACAAATGGTGCTGGGACAACTGAATGACCACTCGCAAAAGAATGAAGTTGGACCCACACCTCATACCATATACAAAAATTACATCAAAATGGATCAGTGACCTAAATAATAAAACTCATAGAAGAAAGAGATTTCTTAGGGGAAAATCTTCATGACCTTGGACTTGGCAGTGGATTCTTAGATATGAATTCAAAAGTGTGGGTAACATTAGACAAAAATAGATAAATGAGACTTCACCTAAATTTAAAGCTTTTGTATATCAAATGAGAATATTAAGAAAGTAAAAACACGACCTAGAGAATGACAGAAATATTTGCAAATCATATATCTGATAAGGGTGTATATGCATAATATATAAAGAACACAACTCCACAACAAGAAAATAAAGAACCCAATTTTTAAAATAGAAAATGAACTTGAGGGATGCCTGGGTGGCTCAGTCAGTTAAGCATCTGACTCTTGATTTCGGCTCAGGTCATAATCTCAGGGTCATGAGATCAAGTCCCACCTTGGGCTTCATCCTGATCATGGAGACTGCTTAAGAGTCTCTCTCTCCCTCTGCCCCTCTCCACACTCAGAAGAAAAATGAAAAAGAAAATGAACTGGAGTAGACATTTTTCCAAAGAAAAAATACAAATGGCCAAGAAGCACATGAAGATGGTTCAACTTTATTATTCATTAGAAGAATGCAAATCAAAACCACAATAAGGTATCATTTCATATCCATTAGGCTGGCTATAATAAAAAAAGCAGAAAATAACAAATTCTGACAAGGATATGCTTAATGGGTACAGAATTTCCTTTTGGGGTGATGAAAATGTTTTAGGATAATACAGCACTGATAGTTGCACAACTCTAAATGCATAAATGCCACTGAATCATCCACATTAAAATGGTTAATTTGGGGGCGCCTGGGTGGCTCAGTGGGTTAAAGCCTCTGCCTTCGGTTCAGGTCATGATCCCAGGGTCCTGGGATCGAGCCCCGTGTCAGGCCCTCTGCTCAGCAGGGAGCCTGCTTCCCCCACCTCTCTCTCTGCCTGCCTCTCTGCCTACTTGTGATCTCTGTCAAATAAATAAATAAAATCTTTCAAAAAAAAAACCTTAAAATGGTTAATTTTGTGTTATGGGAAATTCACCTCAATAAAAGAAAATTTTTAAGAAGGAACTGGTAGCCTGATACAATGGTAAGCCCAAGAGAAACAGAATGCACTCTAAATGTAGGCTCTAAGAATATCTTTTGCTCCTTTATCAACTTTGTTGGCCCAGTAGCAACTGGGCTACTGGGAATCTTATGGGATTCCCTAAAGAACAATATACTCTCTACAAAAACGCTGTTTCTATCTTAGCAGACACTGTAGTATTTTCAGGTGAAATATTATGTGTTAAGAATAAATTCTCCCAAGCAGAGAGATGAGTGAAAAATAAATCTGGAGAGATATCCAGACACTGGAGTTGCCACATCGAATACAGTCATCCTTTTCTCAGTCAGTTAGGTGTCACCCTTCAGCTCAGGTCATGATCCCAGGGTCCTGGGATCGAGCCCTGCACTGGGCTCCCTGCTCTGTGGGGAGTCTGCTTCTCCCTCTTCCTCTCCCTGCTGCTCTGCCTACTTGTACTCCTTCTCTCTCTGTCAAATAAGTACATCTTTTTAAAAAATATAAATATACTCATAAATCTCCCTTTTTAAAAAAACTGAAGTGAAATTCACTTAATACACAACCATTCTAAAGTGTACAATTTAGTGATGTTTACTGTATTTACAATATTGTGCAACGATCAGCCCTTCTTAGTTTCCAAACTTTTTTTCATCCCATAAAAACACTTCATAATCATTAAATAATCACTCTTCATTCCCAATCACTCACTCCCTGGTAACCTCTAATTTGCTTTTCGCCTCTTTGGATTTGCCTATCCTGGATATAGTATATAAAAGGAATCATACAATATATGACTGCTGTGTCTGGCTTTTTTCACTTAGCATGTATTCAAAGCTCATTCAAATTTTACCATGTACTGGTACTTCATTCCTTTTTATGGCTGAATTATATTCCACTTTATGTATTTAACATAAGTTGTTTATTCATTCATCCCTTAATGGCCATTTGGGTTGTTTCCATCTTATGGCTATTATGAATAATGCTGCTATAAACATTCATGTACAAGTTTCTGTGTTACCATGTTTTCAGTTCTTTTGGGTATAAACCTAAGAGTGGAACTGCTGGGTCATAGAGTAATTCTAATGCTTAATCTTTTGAGGAACCACCAAACTGTTTGCCACAACAGCTGAATCGTTTTACATTCTTAGCAGCACTGTAGAAGGGTTACTATTTCTCTCCACCTTTGCCATCATTTACCATTTTTCTTTTAAAATTTTATTATAGCCACCCTAGTGGGTATGAAATAGTATTTCATTGTATTTTGATTTGCATTTCCCTGTTGACCTATGATGTTGAATATCTTCTCACGTCCTTCCTGGACACCCTCTCTGGAGAAACTGCTATGCAATTTCTTTGTCCATTTCCTATTTTTTTATTGTTGAGTTATATGAATTCTTTAAATATCCTGATACTAGTCCCATGTCAGATCATGAATCCCTTTTGAAGGTAAACAGGTCTCAAGTTTCATTATATTCACCCTGCAAATGAAGACAAGAAAAAGAGTCGAGAATCTTCTCCCCACAACAAGAGCAAAGCAGGAATTCTATCTCTGAATTGTAAGTTCTGATCCCATAATCTGATTCTTGGGCTAATAAACCACCCCAAAGGCAGAGAAATATGTCTATCAAACACAGATAGCTTACACTCTGTTCTTGGCTTGCCTAAGACTGCCTAATTTTTGCCTCGGCAATGGGAGTTAATAGATTATTCATTTTCTGAGTGTTAATGGAGCTTGAGATATTTTTATATCTGATGAAGAGTTTTGTGATTCTACACATCAACCCAAATTGCCTCATTTAATGAAAGTGATTTTAAGGAACAATCAGCTTTAAATGTGTCAAGGAAGGCTAAGCGTAATGTTTATCACCCCAGGTGCTCTAACCCACGGCAGAACCTGTCACTTTAGAAAGGCATGCAAAGTGTTAAAAAGTCCCCAAATGATTCCAATATGCACAACTCCATCCCAAACTACAGTTGAGAATTGCTCCCCTAGTAATAAGAGCTAATATTTTTTTAACCCTTATTCTGTTCCAGGCATCTCCTATGCACTTTAAATAGAAAACAGCCTATGAAGAGAGATATTATCCCCATTTTACAGATGAGGAAACTGAGGCACAGAGAAATAAAATCACTTTCCCAAAGTAACACTGCTAGTAAAGGGATGAAGCCAAAATTCAAACCCAAGCAGTCAGGCCACAGAGCCTACACTTTTGATCAATATATATTGCCTCACTTGTAACAGCCACCTAGAGGAGGATGGAACAAATGTGATCATCACCCAGAGGCAAGTCCTTACACATTTCAACAAAGCTCACACAGAGAATAAAGGAAATCTCATAATTCTCTGAAAGTGGTATTTGCCTTTCCTCGATGTGACACCATAAAAGCATGATCTATAAAAGAAAAAAAAAGGATGAATTAAACTTTATCAAAATTTAAAACTTTCACTTCAAAAGACCCCATTAAGAAAATGAAAAGACAAGCCACAGAGAAAAATACCTGGGAGAAAAATATTTACAAATCACCTATCTGGGGGCGCCTGGGTGGCTCAGTGGGTTAAAGCCTCTGCCTTCGGCTCGGGTCATGATCTCAGGGTCCTGGGATCGAGCCCCGCATCAGGCTCTCTGCTCAGCAGGGAGCCTGCTTCCCTTCCTCTCTCTCTGCCTGCCTCTCTGCCTACTTGTGATCTCTGTCAAATGAATAAATAAAATCTTTTAAAAATAATAATAAATAAAATAAAATTGAATTAAAATTAAAACAAAACAAAAACAACAAATCATTTATCTGATAAATATAAATATATAAAAATTCTTAAAATTCAACAATAAAAAGATATGTAATTCCATTTAAAAATGACCAAAGAAACTGAATAGATATTTCAACAAAGAAGATATACTAATGACTAAGAAACATGTGAAAAGATGCTAATATCATTAGTCATCAAGGAAATGCACATCAAAACCAAAATGAGATATTGCTTCATGCCCCATCAGAATGACTATAATCAAAAAGACAGACAATAAGGACCTGGGGAAACTGAACTGCTCACGCATTGCTGGGGTAAAAGGCCATGATATAAACAATGCATTCTAAACTGGTTCAGAAAGAAAGAAAAAAGAGAGGAAGAATGATAAAACAGAGTAAAATACTAACAATAGGTAAATATGAGTAAAGGATGCTATCCTTAGTCTTACAACTTTTCCATGAGTTTAAAATTATTAGCATCCTATTGTTGCTGTAACAAATTACCACAAATTTCATGGTTTAAAACAACACAAATTTACTGTCTTACTACCCAGCAAAAGAAAGCTCTTTTCCTTCCTTACCTTATTCTTTGAGAGCCTTTCACTTCAGTCAACCTGAGTTCACTTGCCAAGAAAACACTGAATACTGGGAAACAAAACACAGAGAACACAAAGGAGCAGGAAAAAGAACAGATGGGATAACTTAAGGCCACACAAACTGAATTCTTTTGGAGACCCTTGAGTCATAAGCCTTCAGTCATTATCTGTATCGGAAGTTATATAACTTACATGTGATCCTACTGGACAGTCTTTTAATAAATAGAGAAACACCCTGAATTTTAGCAATGCCATCTATGAAGAAAGCCTTTTCTCTTACTGAATTATCTAAATTTACTGTGGAACCAAACAATCCTCAAGACAATGACATAAATCTCTAGAACCACT